AAAGGGCAATTCATTGAGAATGTCTGTGAAACCTTTGGTAAGTGCCCAGTCACCAGCAAATGAAGAACAGCTACGTTAGGCTAAGAAACAAATCTGAACATAAGGGCATCAGTTCTTAAAATCTTCCTCTGCACACTGAAGAAGCCGAGAATCCAGGCCCTCGCCGCCTCCCAGAGACTGAAGGGGGGAAGAGTGCTGGGGAGCCTGAGGTGATGATACAAGAGGCCTGCTAACAGGATGCAGAGATGACGGTGGGACCAGTTTCCTGCGTGATGGATACAGAGTGGCACAAAGAGAAAAGAGAAACCTAGGAAACCACGAACACGACTTTTCATGAAGCAAATTGTGAAGATGAATACACGCAAGCACCTAGCCTAAATCCGAAGGAATTTCTCCAGAGGGCTCTGAGGACAACTTAGCCCTGTATAAATGCAGGTCTGTCTGCTTAATCTCAGAAGGCATTCTGGCTGCTTCGAAACATAAGGCAGCGAAACTGCGCTGAGCTGCACCAACTGTTTGTCGAGGGGCTTGGCCAGTGGTCCCCCAACACTGCTCTCTACTCCACGAGAGCAGTGTTGATGACAGGGACCAAGAGTTAGAGCCGAATTCTACTTTCACAAAGTAATCGACTCACAACCTTATGTAGAAAGTGACTACAAGAAAAGAGATCCCTACCTTCCCCCAAACATGTATTGTAAACAATTTAATGCCTTTAAGAGTTGAAGGGCAGAGAGCTCCACCTTGGGTGCATTACACAATTATTCCCTTTACAATCAACTATGATTCATTCTATAAGTCTGTGTTGTGTGCCTCCCATGACCCACCCACTGTCTCAGGCCCTGGGTATGTAGTGGTTTAAAAACACAAAACTGAAGGAAAGTCAGCCATGGGCCCTGTTGCACTTATTGTCCAGTACATACTGTGTGCAAGTGAACATTTACATGCAGCTCCACGTGCAACCAAGGGAAAGACCAGGTGCCGGGAAGAGACTCTTTGAGGTAGATGAAGCCATCTCTGAGGAGGTGATGTTCCACCGGGGACCAGAAGACTGAGGAGGAGTCAGCCAAGCAGAGAATCGGGAGGAAGACTGTTCCAGGTGGAGGGAACCTCATGTGTGAAGTGGAGAGCTTGGCAGGCTTGGGGAGCCCAGGCCAGGCCAGTGAGGACAGGCCGAATGAGAGGGGAGATGTTAAAGGGTGGGCAGGAGCCAGGTCACTGGAGACCTCACAGCCAAGTTAAGGAACTTGGATTTCCTCCAGAATGCATGGGGAAGCTACACAAGTTTTATTACTAGAGATGACGTACTTCGCTTAGTTTTTTAAAGATACTGCTGGCTGCTGGGTAGGTGCTGGGTTGGTGGGGACAGGAATGGATGTGGCTGTCAAGCAAGCTGTTCCTGGATAAAACACAACCAAAAGGACGAAACTGCTGATTCTGAGAACCAAGCTCTTCCTAAGGTTGTAACAGTCCATGCTAAGGAGATAGGAGCCCCCCTGCCCATCCCCATTTAAATGCAGTAGAAACCAGGAGCACAAGGGATCTGGAGAGGCCACGATATCGGGCCTGGCCCAGCTCTGTATGTCTTTCTCTCCAGCTTCCCCGGACCCTCCCCAGTTTTCATGGTGCTCAAGAGAGCTACAGGAACAGGACGATCCAGAACTTTTTCTTCAGTATTGGCTGAAACTCAGTTCAGAAAGCAGTTAAGGACTCTATTAAAATACCAAATAGTAAATCAGTCTGTATATATTCATGAATTATGAATAGTGAGGGCTGGGAATATGAATGTACTCATCGTAGAAGGTAGAAATACGTAGGTGGTTGGCGTGGATCTTTTGTTTCTTTAACTATCTGGCAAAGAAAGATGATACTGGGATAGTGGATCACAGTCTTTTTTTTTTTAATTAATTAATTATTTTGGGGTATGTTGGGTCTTCGTTTCTGTGCGAGGGCTTTCTTTAGTTGCGGCGAGCGGGGGCCACTCTTCATCGCGGTGTGAGGGCCTCTCACTGTCGTGGCTTCTCGTTGCAGAGCACGGGCTCTAAGTGCGTGGGCTTCAGTAGTTGTGGCTCGCGGGCTCTAGAGCACAGGCTCAGTAGTTGTGGCACACAGGCTTAGTTGCTCCGCAGCATGTGGGATCTTCCCAGACCAGGGCTCGAACCCGTGTCCCCTGCGCTGGCAGGCAGATTCTCAACCGCTGCGCCACAAGGGAAGCCCCACAGTCTTTTTTTTAGCCCCCGTTAAATCTTCTCAAGTCAGCTCGGATTCCTGTTTCCTCACTCATCGTTGGTGATACTGAGACTGGAGAACAGCAAGAAACAATATTAAAAAGAGCCTTCAAAAACATCTCATAAGTTTTGCCAACAATATTCACTATGGAATTTCTTTTCACTAGAACATGTGAGTTTAAAAATGTGTATTTGTTGTCCAGGTTATTCCGGAAAGAGGTGATTCCAGAAAAGGAGTGCTCTAGGTGCTGGTGATTCTTCCTGCACTCCTCCCAACCTGTTTCCTCCTTGGTGTCGTGCATCCAGACAGCTCACTCAGGAGCCAGCCCATCCAGGGTGGGGGGAGGTGAAGATTAGCAGGGAGTCTCTGCTGTGACTTAGCCGGGGGGCCGCCATCAGCAACAATCAACCCCAACCCTGGTTTTATGAACCCTTGCACCCAGTTGTTAATGTCAGCTGGTCCCCTGGAGGGCATTGCTGGGGTGCTCATCTCTGCTAGGGTTGAAAAGGATCATGCACTGAAAATCCTTAAAAAGATAAGACAGTCTCATGTTCTTGCTTCCATCTCCTTCCCATTTGCCTGCTCTTCCTGCCAGCCCTTTACTCCAACAGCTTTCACCCTGGACTTTCCGTCCCTTGGTGCCTCCCAGAGAGGGGGGAGGGGGTAAGGAGAGAGAAAAGGGCTCAGCCATTGTGCAGAAAGGACAGAGCCAGCAATTGTGGTTTAGGAAAAAAAAAAAAAAGAGGAAGTTATTAAATGCCACAGTGTTTTTTTGAAAGCTCAGGCCTGGTCTTTATTGTTTTTCCCCAGCAGACGTCAGGGTCTAGAGGAGAGCTGGAAAGGCAAGCTTGCTGTCAGAATGGATTCTACCAATGGGTGGTCTTGGATGTGCTGTGTATGTTTGTGTCACGTTTATGTTCATGTGATGATGAGATACCTTTGAGTATACTTTCCACCTCAGCTTAAGCCTGATGGCCCTTGGGGTTGGTGCCTCTGAGGGTTGTAGAAATCCTAACTGGAGACCACATGATGAATTCTGCAAAAGGCTCTGACATGCTAACTCTGGACAGAACTCTTTTTGCTGTTATTTCCAGCAGAAATTAGGTCTTTTTAATTGTGTCTATTTTACATGACATCTTAGCTGAAAGGTGCTCTAAAATGAAGGTGCTGTTGAAGACAGTGATGAAAATGATTCGTTAATTAAGCACATACCCCATGTGTAGGCACTATGCTAGACAGTTAATAGTCGTTATCTAGAAGCTTTATAGCAACTCTGCAGGATACATATAATAACAGGAGCTGATTTGCTGAGGGTCGAATATGTACCAGACTCTTTCCTAAGTGCTTTATCTGAATTAGTTTAAGTTTCCCAACAACTTTATGAAAGCCATTGGTCCTTGGCGCCCATTTCAGAGACGAGAGAACAGGCACAGAGAGGACAAGGTACCGAGCTGGTCAGAGGGTAAGGCCAGGGCTCTGCAGCAGACTCCAGGGCCAGGCTCCTACACTGTGTGCTCTGCCTCTTATCCTCACATTCCCGATAAGGAGCCTGAGGCTCAGTGTTGACATTCCCGATGTCATTCAGCTCACAAGTGACAGAACCTCAACCAGGTCTTCAGACTTCAAGTCTAGGGGAATATTGAATATATTCAAAGCCAGGAATCTTAAATTTGGTGAGAAAAGTAATGTAACAAAGGAGGTGATGATGCTTGGATAAAACTAAAGATGAAAACTTTAGCTTAGAAGTAGAAACTCCCTGCCGACCGCCTGGTCATCTTCCTCCCTGTCCTGAAATACAAAGAGATCACCACCATTCATGATCCCACCCCTTCTCAGCCAAGGCCAACGCAGAGGAGAAACAGCAGGCATTTGCGCCTTCTCCAGAGGACGTGGTGCAGGGGCTACCAGTTGGCTCTCAGAGACAGACATGAAAACACACCACTGGTACCCAGTGTGGCAAGCCCTCCTCAGAACCTGATGCAGGGGACAGACAGTCTGATCAAGAGGAGGCCTTGAAGGTGCAGTCAGGGTGTTTGGAAATTCAGGAGCCAAGACTCTCCTCCGGAGAAGAAATACATGTGTTCCCATGGTGGGACGCCCTGGGCACTCGGGCCTTAACATTTTTCTCTGCCTGCCTGGGAGTATGGAGGGAAAGGGCTATGGGAATGGTGTTAGGGACTGTGTGGGGGGTGGGGTTAAATGGACACACAGAAGGCTTGCCTGCAGCACGGTGGAATCTAAACAATGTGAGATAGCTCGGCCTCAAGAGTTGGCACGTGCCCCTGAGCTGCCACCCACTGAACGGAGCGAGGGCTGCTGCACTGGAGGATCGCTCTCTTTCCAGCGAAACCGAGACAGGAGGCCGTGGGGACTTGTCTCAGGGAACCACCTTCTTGGACGGTTTGCTTCAGTGAGGCTAGTTTTTCACTTACTTACCAGTGGCTACTGAGTTATATAGGAGGGTTCATCTTCATAACAGTCAATATATATTTCTTTCCCCCTTGGCTGGAAAAAGCTGGTATTCTAAGATTGGGAAGTGCACGTTATTGCTTCACAGAAACACAGATAGGGGAGGATGAAGACCCTCAGGAGCGCATTTGCCCTCCTTCGGGCAGAGCGCCTAGGTGGGTGCAGGCTTAGACCTCTACGCTCAGCTGTGCTGCTCTCCTCTAACCCCAGGGTTAATTCTCATACATTTTCCAGGTCGGATTCATTCGTGCCCCCTGCCCATGAACACCATCACGCTCAACTTCCTGTTTTCCTATTTTTGCCAGAGATGCGTGTGCAGACCCGGACCCTGCAGACACAGGCACCTCTGAGTCCTTCGGCCCAGAGCACCTGACCTCTGACCCCCAGCACAGGAAAGCAGCATGGTCAGGAGGGGTTAAACTTCGGCTGAAGCACAGGTAAGAGGCACGGAGGGCTGCGCTGGGCGGTTCGGAAGAGGGACTTGGCTGCTGGAAGAGGGAATTGGGGGCAGGGCTGGTCGAGAACACAGACGAGTGAGAGAGCTGAGGAGGGCCCGGACGAGGGGGTCAGATGGAAGCTCGGGGTTCAGAAGGATAACCATCTAATGATAGTTTTCAAACTAGGTTCTGAAGAAGCATCAAGTTCCTGGGAGGTAACCTGGGGGTCCCTCAAATCATTTGATGCAAATATCTTTTTTAAAATACATTGGCAACTGTATTTAAAGCTATAATTAAAAACACTAAAAGAGATACACCAACATCTTACACTTTGGAAATGACTAATGCGTTACATTGTACAACAAGATTGATTCATCTCTGAACTGATATTCACTGAACACGTCTTATCTCTAGTTGAGGAATGTCCTGAGATTACAAAGTTGGTCTAATAAAAATTTGCAGGGGGCTTCCCTGGTGGCGCGGTGGTTGAGAGTCCGCCTGCCGATGCGAGGGATGTGGGTTCGTGTCCCGGTCCGGGAAGATCCCACATACCGCGGAGCGGCTGGGCCCGTGAGCCATGGCCGCTGAGGCTGTGCATCCGGATGGAGCCTGTACTCCGCAACGGGAGAGGCCACAGCGGTGAGAGGCCCGCGTACCGCAAAAAAAAAAAATTTGAAGCTACTTATCTGTGCTTTCTATGTGCTAGGGCTTTGCATACCTCATCAAATTCTCACACCAGTGCTGTGAGGTTTGCACTAGTGTAAAGGCATCTCGTTAGGAGGTGGTGGATTCAAATCCAGGCAGTTTGAGCTCACAGCCACTCCACCCTATTGCCTCAGCAATCAGCATAACAGAATCTACTTCCAAGGACAACTGTGGGAATTCAATGAGATATGGTATTCAGCACTTAGCACAGAGCCCCGCTCCTGGGGAACAAGAAATAAATGTCAGGTGAAGTAAATATTAGGTGGTGGTATAATGATGTTCCGGTTATCATTCTCATCATGCCTTTCATCACTGTCACATAAGTCTGTGTGCCAGCATGAAAGGCAGTATAATATAGTGAGTAAGATGGAGCGGGGGGGATTGTCTGTGGAATCAGCCTACCTAGAATTCAAATCTTGATTCTGCCACTTAATAGATAACTGCAGGCAAGTTATTTAAACTTTGTTTCCAATCTATAAAATGAGTTTAATAACTAATCTACCCCAAAGAGTTGCTGAAAGGATTGAAAATGCTAATATACATAAAACACTTAGAGTGGTACCTAGCCCATCGTAAGCGCTCAGTAGATGTTGGTTATCATTGTTGTCAATTATCCTGATTTCAGTTTGCGAGGGCATGGCTCTTTCATGTAGACACGTGGGCTTGGATTAGAAATAAATAAACATTATAAACTTAGATTTATGCAATTACCCATGTTTATGCAAATATACATTAAATTATTATATTTCCTATAATCCAACAACACTTGTATATGGTATCTACATTAAGATCCTCTGTAAGGTTTTCTTTGAAAAAAGGATTCAAAAGAAGTTTGAACATACCAATTGAGGACAGGCTGAGATTTGCAGAAGGCTCCATCTATAAGGGCAAAATGTTGCTCCAGGGACAGCCTGAAGAAGAAGAATCCCCAAGGTTACTGCTATTCCTTTCAGCCTCCTAGGATCTTCAGAATGTAGAGGGTCAGAGCCTTTTATTTAACAAGACGCCACTGAGGTGTGTAGGTTAATGTAGCATCAGTGCCAAAGTACTTTAGGCCAGAAAGTCCTAGTTAGGAAGTTATTGCCCTGGCCTGGGTGGGCAATGATCGAGGCTTGAACTTAGCAAGTGGTGGTGGGACAAGAGATGAGACAGATTTTGTTTGAATTTAGGAGACAGATCAAGAGCAGGTTAAGAGCGTGAAGAGTGGAATCACACAGACCTGGGTTTGAGCTTGAAACAATTGAAATATTTCATAAAACAATCCTTAACAGTTGGATGAAACAAATGAGCCTCAATGTGTGTCCAGTTGGCATCCTAACCACGCAGAGATTGTGGTTAGAACCATGAAGCGATTATCTTTAAAACAAGCTGGGGTTGCCCTCATCAGCGTGGTCAAAACTGGCTCATGATGCTGTGTCTGTATGAAGGGAGACTGTAAGGGAGCAGATAGGCAAGCAATTTCCTTTTGAAAACGTCATGACCTGGATGTTGCATACCTCACGCCCGCTCATGTCCTATTGGCTGGAATTTTTGCTCTACTTATACTCTAAGAATTTTACTTGTGTGTGTCTTGTCTCCAAAAGTATATCATAAGCCCCTACAATAGTCCACCTCATAACTCTTCCCTATGCTCTGAGGTCTCTGCAACCCAGGTCTTACTGATGTTGGACTAAACTTGGAAATTGGTGTGGTTCTCATCCAGTTTATTCAGATCCCAAATCCTGCCCATTTTGTTTTTTACTTTTTATTTTGAAATAATTTTAAACTCACAGAAAAGCTGTGAAAATAGTACAGAGATTTCCCATCCACCCATCACCCACCTTTCTCTAATGCTAACATCTTTGAAAACCATAGTGTAAATATTAAAACTAAGAAATTATCATTGGTGTAATACTATCAACAGACTATAAGGCTTTATAGACTTTATTCAGATTTCACCTTCCCCCCCACCGCCCCCGCTAATGTCCTTTTTCCATTCCAGGATCCTACGTTGTATTTAATTGTCATGTTTCCTTAGTCTCCTCTAATCTGTGATACTTCCTCAGTCTTTCCTTGTCTTTTATGACCTTGACACTTTTGAAGAGTATGGGCCAGTTATTTTGTTGAATGCTTTCTATTTCGGTTTGTCTGATACTATCTCATGGTTGGATTGAGGTTGAGCATTTTTGGCAAGAATACCAGAGAAGTGATGTGTCCTTCTTAGTGTGTCCTCTCCCGGGTTACATGGTGTCAGTGTTTTACTACTGGTGATGTTAACCTTGATTACCTGGTTAAGGTGACGTTGCTTCCTCACTGTAAAGTTATTGTTTGTCTCCTTGTAAACGAATACATATCTTGAGGGGGGAGATAGCTTTGAGGCTGTACAAATATTCTGTTTTTTCTCAAACTTTCTCCCACTGATTTTAGCATCTATCAACGGATATTGTCTGTGACCGTTATTACTGTAATGTTCTAAAGGTGAGTCTGTATTTCCTTCATTCCTTCCACATTTATTAATTGGAAGTCTTCTGTAAGGAGGAGCTGTCTCCTTCCTCCACTTATTTATTTATCCAACTATTTATATCAGTAAGGACTCCTTCCTATTATTTTATTCTGTGGGTTATAATCCAATACTGTTATTTATTTTATTGCTCAAATTGTTCCAGCTTTGGCCACTAAGAATTCTTCCAAGCTGGCTGTGGTCTAAGTCCTGTTTTGAAACATGGGAAGGGGTGAGGTGCTGATGTCTTTAGACAGAGCAGACATGATGTGCTTATCATCTGAGGAGTCTCACAGGTGTTGAGGTGGAAGGTTAGTAGTGGGCACTGAGCAAGTCTAATTCATGACAGGTCACAGAAGCCTACACCGATTTTGAAATTGAAAAGGGCTGGGATCACCTCATGAGCTAATTCCAAGTCCAGTGGGTCATGGGTATGTGTAGCTCCTTTTTCATGGAGAAAATAGCCAGAGAGGATTTTCTCACTTATTTATAAGAAAAAGGAAAGAGCAAAAGGAAGACACTCCCCTCCACCCTCACTCCAGGTACATACAGAGACCAGCCAAACCACCAAGGTAAAGAGAGACAGAAGCTCTTAGTGGTCCAGGGCTTAATGTTCGCACACATCCAATCCCACCTTTCCTTTTTTGCTTGGATCCCTGAGTTCTCTCTTGTCGGACTTGTCAATAGGAGTCCTATGATCTAACTTATCTCGGCAGAACTTCTCCCTAAAATCTGTCAAGCCTCAGGCTAGGGTATTTCAATGAGTTAGTTCAAGAGGCAAAATGTTCCAGCTTAAAACTCAAGATTTTCCAAGCCAGTGCTTTCCTCCATGAGCTTCCTGTCCCATCCTCATTCTCCACCACCAGTCACCACCATCATTATAATGACCATCTCATCTAATCAGTAAGCACTTCCCATACATGGTGATATGTGCTCTGTAAAGTAAATTGAGATGAATGGATCATAGACGCTCAGGCTTTGACTCTTCATTCATCCTTATTTGGGCAGCAGGGTTAGCAGCTGGCACTCGCACTTCCACTGGCAGTGAGTGCTGTCCTCGTCCTCCTGACTTAGCGAGCTCAGGACAGTGCGTCTCAGGAAGCCTCAGTGGATGTTGCTGTAGGACCTCTTTCAGTAGCCTCCAAAGGGTGGGAAGCTTAAAGCAGTCAACACGCAGCTTTGCAGACAGCGGCATTTTTGCACGTGGAGGAGGGTGCGGGTTTAGCAGAGAAGATCAATTAAAAAGGAAACTTCCTGGGCTTCCCTGGTGGCGCAGTGGTTGCGAGTCCGCCTGCCGATGCAGGGGACACGGCTTTGTGCCCCGGTGCGGGGAGATCCCACATGCCGCGGAGCGGCTGCGCCCGTGAGCCATGGCCGCTGAGCCTGCGCGTCCGGAGCCTGTGCTCCGCAACGGGAGAGGCCACAGCAGTGAGAGGCCCGCGTACCGCAAAAAAAAAAAAAAAACAAAAAAAAAACTTCCTGATTGCAGTGTGATGCATGTTATCAGCAGATGATTTTCCTTGCTTCCCTCCTCCTCCTGCCCACAGAATAGAATTCTGGCATTCCCAAGCTGTGTGCTATTGTCTAAGATGCTGGCTCTTCTCCGGGAAAGTTACTAAGTGGTCTTTCTCTTCTTCCCTCTTAGAGAGCAGGAATTGAATTTTAATTGACAATCTACAGAGGTGGCTGGGAATGAGTCCCTCCCACTTGCACGGAGCTTAGTGAGTTCCAGGCGGTTCAGGCTGTCTGATGGGAGTTGCATGGAATCATTGAGAAGCCTTTGCAGCCCAGGGAGGAGCAGAAAGAGCAGTTAACA